CCCACTCAAAGAGGTTGTTGTATTAAATAACCTCTTTGCTCCCACTTCCTTGGCCATCTATCTATACTTTGTTGTGTTCTTTTAAATGTTACATCTGACAATTTTAGCACACTTAAGACTAACGCTCAGCCACTATGGGCTGTTGCACGTACTCCTACGTTTAAGGCATCCAGAAAGTTCCTCTCCGTCATTCGCCGTTCAGCCGAGGCAAGCTCTTAAAGCGCCTGGCAGGTAGGCAACTCCTCACATGTACTGCATGCCTGCACCGCGGGGTGGCCTACTCTGAGTCTCGCAGGCGCCGTGCGTGAACAGACCTACTTTACGGACGATCCCCTATAGGACTCAAAACAGACATTGAATGTCGTTTCAACGTTTAATTTCGGACTATATATTGGTCTGGTTGACGTTGACGTCGACGTGAATACACGTCGATGCATTTCTGCTTGGGAGAGGAGGCTCAAATCCTGGCAGGGGAAAGCGCACTGGGGGCCTCCGCGAGGCACGTGAAACTCCTTTCACGGTCAGATTTATCACCCTGTTTCTCGTAAACCGGTGCATCTTATTTTTACACATTATCATAGACCAATAACAGGGTGATGGGAGTTGGGCCACAGTGTTTCTCCGAAAGGTCCCATGCATTGGTGCACCGGCATCGTTCTACGGACTGAATGGGGAAAAGGGAAGGGTGCATCAAAGCAAGGCAACTTTTATTGGATAAACACTAACTCCTATGCACCATGCACCTGTTGTCCTATATTTAATGTTCACCGGGAGTATCTTTGACTTTGAATATTCTCCTATGTTGAGGGATTGCACAGTATTGCATACTAAATACTTCGCAGGGGTCATGGCAACTTACGGGTGGAAAAAGGAGGTAAACGTTCAGCATTCTAGTGTATTCAAATACACGCCCAGAACAAAGGTGCGCCCAGAGGATGCGCCAAGGGCACTAGCTGGGGAGGTGACTTAGGACGGACGCTCCCTTTTCTGTAGCCAGCGACTTTGGCGCATACTTAGCAGAGACCTTGCACTTTGTACTTTCAGTGTACACCTGGCTGGATGACGGCCCGCCCGCCGCCGCGCCGCGGCCACCGGC